CTATTTCATCTTCTTTCATCAATTTCTTTAGTGCTCATAAGTCATCCCATTATTCACTTTCCATGGATTGCTTAGGAACCCCATTTCTTTTGTACTTTATTCCACAACGTTTTCATTCTTTTCTTTCTCTTTTGTTTTTGTATGGAGGGGTTCCATTTTTTTTCAACACCATGGGTTAAAGGGGACTTTTCTTGCACTTCTCAACTTGCCTTTTCTTTTCACCACACCCCCAACTTAGGTTTTTGGCCTAAGTTGGCTGTTCAATCAACCACGAATCACGAGGATTATAGGTAGCAGATTAAGAAAGGTCATGTTTTCATCAAGTTTCTTCCAAAGAAAGGTAAGGCTCAAGGGTGTTCAAAAGAGGTTCACACACTAACAAGGTAGGCCACAAAAGAGGTATATGTCAAATTGGCTAACACTCTTCGAAGTTACCTAAGATCATATCAAGAGATAGCCTTACTTACTTGACCGGACCAATGGGGCAAATTCTAGGTGTTATCATGCATGGTTCACAGTAAGTTCATCACACAAGGCATCGACACCAAAGTCAAACAAGACTCCACACTTTCACTAGTGTGCAACGTTCATCACAAAAGAATCAATTCGATAATTGGCTAGTCACACCGAGATGCAAATAGTTCACATATTGACTATGTAACTTTAATTGGACTCATCGTAGCCGCATATTCATGTTTGTTCGATTATGAGCACTATTTGAGTCATCAATATTGATCAAAACTGAGACTCAAATTTGCTAAAGAACAGCCACATTCCACACGTACAAGAGGTGGCAAAAATTTTAAAATTTTTCGAAAGGGTGAAAATCATTTACAATTTAAAATAAAAGGAGCCACAAGCTCAAACATCCACAAGAAGCAGTGTAAAACACAACTTTATGACTCACAACCCAAGAATATAGCACACAAAGGTGGGCCACACCCCACCACAAATTAAAAAACATTTGTTCTCAAATGCAACCAACATAATATCCAGAATTTAAAATGAAGAAAGATAGAGAGGGAGGTAAAGAGGGGATCCTATCTAAGCAGTCGTTCCATCTGTCTATGTATCAGTGCCCGGGGTATCAGTTTGGCCTGTACGTTGGGTCACACCAGAAGGACCAGCTTCACTAGAGCAACAAAATGTGTGTTTGCCATGGAAGCCTTTACAGCCGCATCTATCCTAATTGCTTCAGTCTCTGTCAGGTCCTCATCTGCAACATCCACAGTTTCCTCGAGCATTTTCTCATCTGTCTCTGCCTCCGATTCAGGCTCAGCTGTCTGCTCAACTCTATACTCATTTCTGGTGGTGGCCGAAAGCATTTCTAGCACATCTGGTGTAACACCCCAGAAATTCTATGACTTAAGTTAGAGCCTCATCTTATGAATAATGACTTAAAAATAGTCAAAATGATGTTTATAAACCTAAACTAATGTAATTGACTTGGTTTGGAAGAGTAAAAGTCTAAACGTCAAGAAACGATCAAGACGTCCAAAAATTAGAGAAGAATGTGTTCTAGTGTGTCCTTAGGTTTTGGGCAGTTTGGGAGTGTCGTATGATGGTATAATCTTGTAAAAAGGGTTAAAATATGTAAATATATGTTCATAGGGTCAAAATGTTTGAATACGACGCCCTGAGGCCACCCTAAGGGTCTCCGAGGAGGACCCCAACCTTGGCTAAGCAAGCTGCCAAGGCAGCTTGCAAATTGCACTTGGAGGGAATAGGGGCGCGTCTCGCACTTGCTCCCCCAAGGAGCAAAAAGTCAGTTCGCGATGCGGTCGTGTCGCGGACTCTACTGTCTCAAAATTTAATTCCAAATATCTTCAGGGAACAGCTCCGCATCGCA